GGCCGGTGCAGCCGTTGCCTGGGAACAGCAGTCGGACGCAAACAGAAGCAGGGACCGGCGCGACGGTGAGCGCTGGGGTCCCCAGGGGGGTCCCCCAGGGCAGCGGGAGGACGGGGCAGCTGGGCAGGCTCCAAGGCCTGGAGGGGGCTTGGGAACAGCTCTGTGGTGACCCCGGTGAGACCTGTGGGGCCGTGGCCGTCCCTGAGCGGCCGTCCTGCCTGCCAGGGACCAGAGGGGGGGTTTCTCCTGAGGTCCCCTTCCCGCTCCCGTGAAAGCTCTCTGCGCGCGAGGTTTCGGCATCGGCTCACATCCAGACCTGTGAAGCCGGAGGTGAACCAGCCCAGGAGCAGCCCTGCTGCTTACGGGGACTGTGACAAAACCCCGTCCGAGGGGAAATGTCCGTGCCCAGCGCAGCGTGTGGGCAGATGGGGAGTGAGCCTGATCTCAGCCGGAGTAACCGGGGCTGTGCTGGTCTCGCTTGCGCCCGGCAGGAGCGTTACTGGAGCTGAAAAGGGGCTCTGGGACCTGTTTCCCGGCTTCACAGGTGCCCTTTCCTCTGGCTATGCCAAATTCCAGGTCATCGTGCATCCAAGCCTGGGGCGGGGGGGACTATTTCAGCACATCTCTCTGCCCCAGCTCCTTGGAAGGGTGAAGGTGAGGACGGATGGGTCGAGTGAAGTTATACCAGAGGAGCCAACCGGGGGAAGAGCAGGAGTAAGCAGCGAGCCCATGGAGAGGTCCCAGGACGGACAGACAGCTCGGGAGGTGGCTGCGCTGCCTGAGCAGGTGAGGGCAGCATCACGGCAAGCCCTGCCTGACACAGGGTCTGCGGGCAGGTCCTGATGGAAGCAGAGCCCCTGGCTCCAGGACCAGGGGGGTGGCGTCTCCCAGGCATGATTTCTCCTGAGACGTCCCCGGGGATGCGGAGCAGGGACCCCGCCAGCGGGGCTCAGCAGATGCAGCATCTCTGCGTAGTCTCAGTCCAGCTAGCAATATTTGCTGAGCTCTCGGGCTGCCTGAGGGTTACGTGGGCAGGAGGGAACCTGGCCTCGTCCCCGCGCTGAACGAAAGGTTATCTTACCTCCCTCGGAAACGGAGTCCGAAGCTTATACCTGGCATGAGAGATTGCTACAGAAAATCAAGCAGCCCCATGGGGAGAGGCAAAAGCTGATGTGGATCCCAAGAACAAGATAAAGTGGCTGGCGCTCAGACCGGGGAAAGCCTGGCCAGGGGCTGCTGCGAGCTCTGATACCCCGGGGCTACTTCGTACATATATTAACAGCCTGACGAGGTGCTGGTGGGATTTTTTTTACCTTCATTTTCCACCCGCTCGCCAGGCAGCATGGCAGGAGATGCTGGCCGCAGAGCTGGGATTGCTGGTGAGTCCTTCCCAGCCATCTCAGCCCCAGTTCCAGGACCTGATTCCCCTGTTTTTAGCCTCGATTTGCCATCGCTCCCTCTCCAATCCGTGCCTGCGTGCCCCATTGCAGCAATCGATAGCCATCGCATAGGGAATAGTTGAGGGACAGACAGCAAAAAGGCCTTAATAGGACAAAGGACCTATTAAGGTTAGTTCTGGAGGAGAAACTTGGGCATCTTAGTTCAGGGGCTAGGAGCTGCCTGGAAGAGGTTCTGGTGTGAGACATGGAATGCCATGGAGGTGCAATGAGGGCAAGATTAGATGCGCAGGAACAGAAGTAGCGACTGGTGGGAAAATTTCCATGGTACTTTTTCCCTGGTACAAATCCACAGGCAGCTGGGACAGGGGCAGAGGAGTATCTCTGATATTGGAGCCTGTCCTGAGAGAGATGTAGGTTGGATCTGAGACGTGCTGGGGTGCATTCCCACTAGCTGTGGACCAGCCCAGGGGCCAGCACGCACCGGCGTCTCTCTCCATTTCCAAGGACCCCCTCGCTGCTGCCAAGGAGAAGGAAGGATTACCAGAGGGTGCTGCCAAGGAGAGTGAAGGAGCAGCGGAGGATGCTGGAGCAGATGCACTGTTGGGTCCCCTGTGGTGTCCTTCAGGCCGCGGGGAGCAGGAAACGCAGCAGAGGAGCGGGGTGGGCGACCAGCGCGATGGCTCTGCCAGCTTGGTGTGGGCAGCCACGCCGGGGATGCTCTTCCAGAAGGACAGGC